GCTTTATATATTTACATTTTTAAGATTCATGTACTTAAGATCAGTTTACTCTCTTCAGCAAGTTTATACACATTATTTTTGGCCTTTATTCTCAAGGTATTAATTTGTATTTAAAATGAAAAGCGTGTACAGTCCTTTGGGTTAACTATGCTACCACAACATGATGCATCTTGCAGAAGTCAGTCTAAAATGCCAATCATAGGTAGTAAAAATGGGAGTCTGCAAGTTCTGAGCTTAAATTCAGTTACTCTGGTCAACAGAGAAGTTGTTTGTATGACCAGTAGTTTAATTAAAGCCCTCTTCAAATCCATTAAAAGATTTCCCTTTGACTTTTTTTTTTTTTTGGGAGTATGAAATAAGAAAGGTGGTTTCACACTTAACATAGCAATGTTCAGGAGTCATGAGACTGCTCGGGAGATGCAAGTTGACAGGTTTTTGTGGTTGTTTTTTTGTTGTTCTTCTTATTGTGCCCCATCTGATCTAAGCTTACTGTCAGGCAATGAGTTTTACTTGGGGTAACTGATGCGAGAGGCTGAGCATGCAACACAGAGCAGAGCTATAGACATCAAGGTTTTCTTCCTGCTGCCAGCTGCTGCCCGCTTACTGCTACAGTTCTCCATTACCTGCACAGGGGCCCCACAACAGCTTTTAGGTTGGAAACATACAGCAGAACAGAAGAAGAGGAGGAGGGCTTGAGTTAGTACAGAATGGAGTCTAGGAACATTTAAGAGCACACAGACAAAGTTATTGTATGTGTCATAGAAATTGCCAAAATTAATTGCCACACTTCAGTGGTGATTCAGAGTAATAGCTATCACTTATGCATTGCTTTTGCTATGCTAAATTTTAGCAGTATAAAAGTAAAATAAATACGTAAATAAAACATTTTTAAGGAATATTGGTGGCAAGCAGTGGCCATTTAACAGCTTGAAGACCAGTTCTAACTTTTTAAATTGGCTGTCCAGCCATCCAGCAGGCCACTAAATCAGGAAATAGCAGGGAAAAGGATTTTGCTTTCAGTCTAGCAAGATTTGCTATGTCAGCTGTAGGAAAGAGCAAAAAGTGCTGTATCTGCCTGGTCCCCAGCACACCTGACTGAGAATAATAGTGGCTCCTGAGCATACAATTGGCCTGCTGCTCTTGTCAATTTAGATACTTAGATTTAGATACTTAAAGGATGTTTCCTCTGAAAACTGGAAAAATGAGATAATAGTTGGACTACTTTCATCCTTCAGATAACCGAATGAGCAACAGAATACAACATAATAATTGTCCAAAATGAAATTACAGGTTTAATTTGATAATTTTGTTGACAACAGTAAACACAGAAAAATAGAAAATGCTATCTGTAAACAATAGTCTCAGGACTGCAGTCGATCTGTGCTAGCTGGGGACTCTGCTGTGTCCCAGGAGTGTGGGAGGGCAGAAAGTGGCTTGTCAGCAGCAGAGAAAAAAAATGAAGACTTACATGGAAATAATGTTGAGAATGTTCAGAGACAGCAAGATGTAAGGTCAGCTGATTGTTAGTAGCCATATGACGTAAGCTTTTCTATTTTTTGCTAAAGAATAATTTGGATGTATTTGGTATTCCAGTTGCTTCATTTTATTATTTATTCTGGTGGAGAGACAATCTTAAATTTATATGTTCAAAAATTGTTTGGATGTGATTGTTTAGAGTTAATGAGACATAGAATAAGCCATGCCTAAGATGAATTGTCAAAAGCCAGTATACCTTAGAGATATATCTGAAACATGCACAGCTCACTACCTTGAGAATCAAATGATTTCTGCCCGGCTTTCCTGTTCCAGCCAGATTTAGAGAAGCTGGCAGCTGCCACTGGTCTCAGTAACTATGCTCCTTCCCCTGCTTCTCCCTTCACTCACTGGTCTAGGAGAGAATGAACATTATGCAAAGCAATGCCTTTCCTTTCTTATCTGACAGAAAGGGGAGTGGAACCACTTTGGGCTGGTCTGCCCGAGGGGTGAAGAGCTTTGTTTTTGATCTCAGCAGCATGGCTGGTTGCTCTGACCTCAGCTGTGAGCGCAGAGAAGGCAGTCCATCCAAAGATCTTTCTCCTGGATAGTCTGGTCTGCTCAAGGCATTGAAAAGGACTTGTCACTCAAGAGCAATTTACTAGATCTGGTAATGCTACACATATTGCTGTTGCTACCATTAATAAGGAAAGCTGAGCAATACTGACCAGAGAAGAATATTGGAACACTTCCTTTTTTCACTAGGCAGCCTAAGCTTTTTCCTTACTCCTAAGGAAAAAATACCATGTGCCATGATTTGCAGAAGTGAGATTGTCAGACTCGAGCAAAGCATACATAGATAACCACTTCAGAAACCTTGGGACTGTTTAATTCGTTTTAAAGAAGTTTGCTTACAATTTTCTTTACCCCTTGCAGTAATATCATGTAAGAAGTAATCCATTTTCTTTGTGTACAAGTGGTTTTATAATGAAGCATTATAATGAGAAGGTAAAATCCGGGGTGTTGCCAAGTTGGCCTTGTAAAGAATTTCTTACTCTGAAAGAGCACATCTGTAAGGAGCTGACGGGATTGCAAATTCAAGTAGCTCAAATCTACATAAGGAAATTAGCACCTTGAATTACAGTACTGGTCAGAGAAAAAGTGATTCTTTTTACAGTGGATTAGCTAGAGCTGCCCTAAGAAAACACACAAAGATAACAATTAAAAACCCAATTTTCTTCAACTGTTACATTATCCATAGATATTAAAATGCCAGGACATTGAATAGCCAAGTACAAATAAGTTAATGTCTTTAAATTGGGGGTATCTGCTGTATGAGTTACTTACGTCTTTGATTTTCAGAACAATAGAAAAAAAAGCAAAATTAATTAAGATGTAGTGGGAATTGAAAACCTAATCTTCCTTAAATTTGTTTCACATAATCTAAAGAGATAGTCGTGTTTATCACTGCTCAGTAATGCATGGTTCTTTATTTCTTTTATGGGTTTAAAACAGGTTTAATTTAATCCACATTATTGTACTTGTACTGACGAAATATTAGTCACAAATACTTCTGTGGCACTTCTTTCATACATCCTCATTAGTACATACTGACATTTACGTACATGCCTAAAACAATACTGAGGAACACTGCATAAGCGATACATGAAGTCCAAGATCCCATTAAAAGTAACCTGGATGTGAGTATGACAGTCTGCTCCGTCACGTTCCAGGCGTTCTGCTCCTGACTCAAGGCCCAGCTTTTCCCTCAGCTTTGTGATTCCAAGGACGTGGGGAAGGGGCAGAGACAGAACACCTGTGGGAAGGCTGTACCGAATCTATGGGATCGCCTGGCTACATCAAGTCCAACTAATTCCCTCTTTATTTAGGCAAACGTTTGTTAGTGCTTCTGAAGCACTGACAGTACTGAAGTGATAAATAACGTAAGCAATACGCACAGAGGATCAGACAGCTGCTTGAAAGAAGTGTCTTCATGAAACCCTGTTTATTTCTGTTGTCAGGTAAGGAAGAGAAGGCAATTGCAAATTCACTTAAGGATCCAAAGAGAACTTATTGCAGGCATGATCATTTCAAGGAAGTATCTCCATTCTTCCTTCTTGCAGTTGCAGAAGTTCAGCACTGAGCCGCTTCTCTCCTCACACCTTTCTTCACGCGAGAAAGGCTTTGAAGGAGAGTAAAGCAACCCTTCGTGAGGTATAAAGGAACAGGAAGCGATGTGGACAAAACCGCACTGATGGCAACGGAGCAAAGGGCCGGACATTAGGGAATCGTCCTCAATTCACAGTAGTTGTACATAAATAGCCCGACGCGTTAAATGTCACAGATAGAAGCGTTAAGCGTTAACGAAACGCGGAGCATTTGCAGCAGAACAAACACGAGACGCAACGCGGCAGCCAGCAGCGCAGGGCAGCCGCCGCGCCGAAGCCATCCCGTATTTCACAAGCCGCGGGCAAATCCGATTACCGGGATTAGCGCAGCAAAATGGCGGCGGCGCCCTCCCGCCTCGCGTCGGCGGGTCCCGCGCTGCAGGCCGCGCGCCGCTAGAGCCGGCACCTGTCAGTCCGCAGCGGCGGGACGCGCCGCCACCGCTCCGCACCGCCGCCGCCCGCCCCCCGCCCTGGAAGACCCCGCAGGCGTGGTTCTAATCGCCATGTAGCTCAAAACAGTGAGTTGTTCTGCATTCCGTTGTGACGTTAGCGCTTAATCGTTTCTGTCGGTGCTACGAGAAACCATGCTCTGAGTTAACGCGCGTCGCTGCTTTAGCTCGAGATGCGATCTTGTCCGAGTGCGGCTATTGCCCGTAAACAGGAAGCGTCTTCGAGCTGTCTGCAGCTGACGGGCTGCCAAGCGTTTGATGTTTCAGGGGGCTGTTTCAAGACAGACAAGTGTACTGACGTGAAGCTGCCCCGTCGCGAGCTGCTATCGCGTGTACCTGGTAGGGACCGGCGGGCCGAGCCCTGAGCTGCAGCCGCCGCAGCCTTTTACTCGCGGCCGCTTTAACCAGAAGAGGGCCCGGGGCTTCTCCTGCGCGCGGCCAGCTCCACCGTGTGGGCAGCGCGGAACCCCGCGGGCAGAGCGGCGCCGGCTGCTCGTTCCGGGCCGGGCGCGGGCGGCCGTCCTGCCGCGGGGACGGGGTTCCCCTCGGCTCTTACGGCGACGGCCATAACTGCAGGAGAAGCGCAAGGCTTCTCTGGGCGCTCGTGAAGCTTTAAGGCTGTTTTCGCTCCGAGGAGAAGCTGTCACAACACGTCTGGACTGGGAGTTGAGGGAATGCGTTAGGGATGTAATAACGACGAAGAGTTAGAAGGCCTTCGGAGCGGTTCCGGTGGCTGTGGAAACCTGCCTGCGCTCACGGTGCTGTACCCGAAGGTGCTCCCCTCCTGCTGTCCGAATAACGAGGCTGAGGGAAGAGGCAGGCTGAAAAACTCATCTGCAGTCTGGAGCACTTGCGAGGCTGCAACGTGTAGAAGGAGGAAGTATGACAGGGTAGGCCAGGGTGCAAGAATCAGGAGACTGAAATAGGAGCGTTATCAACGTGCTTATAGAAATCATGGGTCACCATTCAGGTGTAGCACTAAGCTGCAAACCATTGCAAGCTATTAAGGATAATTAAGATAATCATTAAGATTTTACTGCATGCTTGAGGCTGTTTGGAGAGCGAGGGGAGCCCGGAGTGGGTGGCCTTGTGTGCTGTCTGCCCAGAGGGACCAGGGAAACAAAAACAGCCGTGAAAGCGATGGTTCGACATCAAGTACTGAATTAATATTGCTGTATAAGCAGGGATCAGGATCGTAGAGCTGCAGGGCCACTTGTTTTTGTTTGCTTTTTGTTCTGTTTGCTCGGTCTTGATGCCTAACCCTGTTTCCGCTGTAGAGCAAAACTGTCCCTGTAAGACAGTTGGATGCTGATGAATGGTCATCACTGCTTGGGAGAACAGGCTGGAAACAAAACCAAGGTTGCCCTCGAAGTATGTTAGTAGCGTAGAATGGAGCTGAATGTAACACTAGTATGGCGTGTTTCCATAGAATGAATACCAGAAGGCAGTAACATCTTCAGAATCCCATGTTTGGGATTAAAAACCAGATAAATTCAAAAACTGATGATATAATAGATTGTAGGACAGCTTTCTGTTTTTTATTTTCCGTAGGTACAGGCAAGTGGCTCTGTTGTTCTGTTAATGCGGCCAGCTGGTCTGTCAAGTTTGGGGTCTGAAGGGGGGTAACAAAGTCCGTCTCCATGTGTCACAGAGTGCACTTTCCTGACAATAGATTTCAGAAGTTTAGCAAGAATAGAAAAAAATATTCCCGGATTGCAACTTTGGTAGTAAAAATTTTCTAATTGTTATAGTTGGTGTTTATAGGCCTGAAAGATTTCTTGTGATCTCTTTGTTCACTTCAAAATAATATTGATATAAAAATCATCAGTAGCTTCTTCTCTCTGCAGTGCCCGTAAGGAGCTGGCTGATGTAGTCCTTGCAGTTTGCTGTATCATCCATGAGGCATAGCTAGCCACATTTTTATTTGGGTGCACCCATCTCTGAACTGTCTGTTAACTTTTAGTCTCTTCATACAACTGTCCTGTGACAGTATTCTCTTGATGTCGGAAAAGGTAATGATAACTTTCAGTAAACCCAGTGACCAAGAGACACAGAGATCAGTCTTTCCCAATGAATTCTGTATTTCTTGGTCACAGTAGCACTTCCTCAGAAATTGAAATGCTTTTCCTGTTTCTGCCATAGTAACTTCAAATGGAATGTAAAGTATTCCAAAAAAATATTCCACTTGTGTGTGTGCTGGGTAGGGCATTCTGATTTTACAGCATTTTTGACAAATGGAAGAAGCAAGACAGGTAAAAGGAAGTAGAGAATCGTTACATGCATGAATAAATGGACTGTTTGGGAATTGCTTATTTTGAGATAGAACCAAAACCCACAGGCTCTAAAACTGTAACTGCTCCAGAGTTTCCTGTATAACGTTACAGTGACATAGGTACCAGATAGTTTAGCTCACAGCAAAAAAAATTACCTGTCCACAAAGCAAGTGATAGTTTCTGCTGTCTTTACAAAAGGAATCTGGTGTTTCACTGAGCATGCCTTCATATCCATGATTCAGAGACAACAAAAGCTGTCAATCTGTGAACATACAAGTAGAAAATGAAAATACTTCTCTTTTTAGGAGGATACATTTTGGAATATCTGGTTGTATAGTAAAACTTGTACAATGTGTTACCCTAGTGTTTTTAGTAGGCCATGCAGAAACATGCCTTATAGTAAAAAAAAAAAAGTCTGATATATTTAGCAAACTGTATGAGATGATATGTCTTTGAGCTAAAACCAGCTGCTTCCTATACATAAACGGCAAGATCCTACAGGACAATTCACCAGGAGGTAGAGCTGCATCGTTTATTTCATACACTCAGGAAATAACTCTATCAGTAGCTCCTGTTGTGAAATGTTTTTGATGTCTGACAGTTGGTTTCTAGTACTGTATCACATGAGCAAGTTAGATGTAATCTCTAACGTTGTCAATGAGAAAAAGGAATCAATTATGCAATAGTGGCTGCTGGCTTGAAAAGAAGTATTATTGTAGTATTCTTTCTGTCATAGACTTCATATGCTAGAAACCATCTACAATTGCTTAGGGGGTTTCAGAAAGGAAATAGCTATACTCAGTTCCCACGAGCTTTATGTTATCACGCCAACTGAATAAATATTTCCTAGGTCAAGTAAGTGTAATGAACAAACATGATAAACCATGATTTAGTAATTAAAAGGAACAAAACAGTGCATTTGCATTTACAGCTAGGGTGAGTGGCCAGATAATCAAAATAATACCAGTCTACCTTTCTCACTTACAGCGATGGAGTGATTTCTTGCTCTCTGTGGCATATATATAAGTGGTGTTTTTGAGAATTTGGAATTTGATTTTTCTGAAGTCTGTGCATTGAAAATTCTCAACTGTTGAACTGTCGTAGGAGTTTTGGCTGTTCACATGGGCAGCACCTCCCTGCTGGAAACACTGGCTATGTTGTAAGGTACAAATGTTACTTCAGAGCTCCATCTTAGATGTACAAAATTGTATCTTGTAGAACTACATTGTGTTGTACATGTTTTTTTGTTTTTTTTTTTTACACGATTTGATTTGCAGTGAAATACATGATGGATTTCTGATGAACTATCCAAAATGTAACTAGACCAGCTAGAGCGAGAATATATCACCTTCACATGAACCTTGTTTTCAACAAAGGATTACTTCTGAATATCTTGAGTGAGAGAGCCAGAGTATTCTCAGTCATTGTTAGTTGTTTATGAAAACTTACCCTGCAACTGGAACTTTATTTCATAGGATCTCAAATCCCTGTTTTAAATACCATCTTAATAAGATGATCAAATGCAGTTGTGTTTTAAAGTCATTCTATGACTAACAGCCTCAGAAAACAAAGCAGTTGTATCCACAGGATCACGGCAAGTCAACCTTCCCCATAACCACTGCCAAATACCTCAACCACGTGCTGGGGGAGTTTCCTCAAGGGTTCAGTGAGTCATTTAGAGTGAATCTGGGCGGATAGAGCCACTGGCACAAATGAAAAGTGGCAGAAAGCTGGCAGCTGTGGTTGCCAGTGAAAGGCACTGGGTGGGAGCTAGGCCATGCAGTGCAGGGAGGATCACCTGCCTCTTGCTGAGGAGCTACAGGTGTCCCTGCATCCTTGATCTGTGCATAGGTATCTGTTGAAGCAGTAGCACAGCTGGAATAAAATGGGGAATGTGCAGCTGGTGGATGTGATGATGCATCTAAGATTGTAGAGTCAGTCAGCTGGGAGAAAATGATTTCTACCTGGAGATCACCCTATGTAAATAATCATCCTGATGTTCTGAGAAGCCAGTTTACCTTCGATATCGCTGGCACTTGTGAATCTAAGTAACTTTAACATGAAATGCTATGACAAAAGTTGGTATGTTTAAAAGAAAAAAAAAACAACAAAAAACTGTAAGAGAAATGCAGAACTATAAATTTGATATGTAATTTAAACAAATCCCTTTTTCTTTTTCCTTGTAGATGACAGTCATGTCCCATTCAAAGGATCTCAAGGACGACTTCCATAGTGACACTGTACTTTCCATTTTAAATGAACAGCGCATTAGGGGTATTTTATGTGATGTCACCATAATTGTGGAAGACACCAAATTTAAAGCCCACAGTAATGTGCTAGCAGCTTCAAGTCTTTACTTTAAAAACATATTTTGGAGTCGTACTATCTGTATTTCAGGTCATGTACTGGAATTAGATGATCTCAAAGCTGAAGTCTTTACAGAAATACTGAACTACATCTACAGTTCCACAGTGGTTGTTAAGAGACAAGAGACTGTAACAGACCTTGCAGCTGCAGGGAAAAAACTGGGAATATCGTTTCTTGAAGATCTTACAGATGTTAACTTTTCAAGCTCCCCCTGCCCTTATGCATACTGTGTAAGCGAGAAAGGGTCTGTCAAAGAGGAAAAACATGAAAAGAGACATGAAGACTCCGCTGTGACAAATGGACCACGAATTACAAATGCATTCTCAATTTTTGAAACTGAAAATAGTTTGTTTTCTCCACTCGATTTGAGGGCAAACTTTAAAAAGGTATCTGAGACAATACAAACCCCCAACGTCAGCCTTGACAGAAGCAACACTTGCAAAGATGCAGAGCCAGCCAGTACGCTGGCAGAGCACTCCTACGCAGTTTCTTCAGGCGGAGATACTTTTCAAGGAACGCCTCACTTTGAACAGGAAAGCAGCTCTTCGTACAATGCAGCTGAAGACCACTATGAAAATGTCCGAGCTACGCCACTCATTCAGCCAGTAAAACAAGCATGTAGTACTACTCCAAAAGCGGCCTTCAAGCCCCAGGGTACCAGTTTGGCTGTAGCAAAAGCACCAGCTTCTACGGTAGCCAATGCAGAAGCCCAGCCTGAAACGGTTAATGATCAGAGAATTATTTCCATTCCAAAACCTCAGAATAAAGCAGGAGATCTCCATTTGTCCAGAGAAGAAGAAAACGCATCTGCTAATATCTCTGGGTCTGTGACAACTGTTGTTCCACCTGCTTACAGCTGTAACTGCTGTGCAAAATCGTTCAGTGACAGGGCGTTACTCAGTACTCATCTTCAACTCCATTCGGAGCATCAGGAAACTTTCATATGCAAATACTGCAGCAAACAATTTGCAAATCTAAATATACTGGAAAGTCATGAACAAGTCTGCATGAGATCAAGTAGCTTATCTGTTCACAGTGGGAATGAACAAAATTTTTCAGATAATTATACTGCTACGGATGGAAGGAATGAGAGTTCATATGCAAACACAGAGCCTCTATTGTCTGAAAACAGCATAACTGATTACTCTAATGCAAACTGTGCTTTACCAGAAACGGATCACTTGGTTAAAGTTGTTGATGGGCAGATATTATATACTTGCATAGTTTGCAAACGTAGTTATGTAACGTTGTCGAGCCTTCGAAGACATGCAAATGTGCATTCGTGGAGAAGAACATACCCGTGCCACTACTGCAACAAAGTATTTGCATTAGCTGAGTATCGCACAAGACATGAGATCTGGCACACTGGAGAAAGGCGGTATCAGTGCATTTTCTGCCTAGAGACTTTCATGACTTATTATATACTAAAAAATCATCAGAAGTCTTTCCATGCAATTGACCATCGTCTCTCAGTAAGTAAGAAGACAGCCAATGGAGGCTTAAAACCAAGCGTGTACCCATACAAACTTTACCGACTTCTGCCCATGAAGTGCAGGCGACTACCTTATAAGTCCTACCGAAATTCTACGTATGAAAACGTTCAAACAAGTAGCCAAGTTAATGAAACTGCTTCTAGTAACTGCTTCCTTCAGAGTTCTCTTAGTTCTGAGCTACCGCCGCTGAATTTTCAAAGTAATATATTATCAAACAACAGAACTCTTGTCTTGGACACTTCTTCATGTAATGATACGGCATCTTCCACAAATCCTCAGAACTCTTCCTCTTGGGGAGTAGGTATCTTAAATTCTGATCTGCAAAGAGACTTCTTCACAGCTGACAAAAGAGTTCCCACTGCTACAAAAGACTCTGGTTCTCATGAGTATGATTCCTCAGTTGTGTCTTTAACTAATGTGAACGAAAATTCAACCTCTGTGATCAGTTACAGCAGTTCTGCACCCTCTGTTATAATGCACAGCAGCAGAGTTTCATCAGTAATAATGCACAGTAAAACAATCACTTCTGTAGAAAACAGTAAAACAGATTCTTCTAATGCTGTACCTAGTCAGCCTGTAAGTGATGATTGTAAGTATGGGTCGGATAATTATGGAAAATGTATTACAAAATCAAAACCTATTAAGGAGAAAAAGAAAGCACTGCTGTGCAACAGAGCAGAAGCAGCTGAGGATACGCAGCACGTCCAAGGATCTGGAGGTTCATCTAGCAAAACCACTAATACTGCTGAAGAGTCGAGTAAAACTGAGACTTATATTGCAAAGCCTGCCTTACCTGGAACATCTACTGACAGTAACGTTGCTCCTCTTTGTCAGATAACAGTAAAAATCGGTAATGAGGCTATTGTAAAAAGGCATATATTAGGATCTAAGCTATTTTGTAAAAGGGGACGAAAATCTAAACACGAGTCCAAGCAGGACAATTTAAATGAGGAATCAGAAACAGAGGTAAAAGAGAAAAGCCCATCTAGGCTCTATAGCTCAGAATGCCTGGAGCTGACAGAAATGTGTGATGATGTAAGTGATCAGGATTCCAGTGATAAACCCTGGAGACCATATTACAATTACAAACCGAAAAAGAAATCTAAGCAGCTAAGAAAAATGAAGAAGACCAAATGGAGGAAAAAGCACGGAAACAAGAACACCATTATGGAAAGTCACAGTCCGTGCAGTCGGGAGTATGCACTCAGGAGTGCTCCTGAAGACAAGGCAATTAGTCAAGAAGAGAACACAGAAATGCCCAGTCTTCATTGTGAGCTCTGTGAAGATCAGAACTCCACTGCAGAAACTCAAGAACATGTACATTGGCATGTATCTACTCCAAAGCCTTACATTTGTGAATTATGCCAAAAACAATTTCAAAGTCCATCCACCTTAAAAATGCACATGAGGTGTCACACAGGGGAAAAGCCCTTCACCTGCAAAACCTGCGGTAAATGTTTTTCAGTTCCTGGAAATTTACAGAAACATGAACGTATTCACCTGGGTGTCAAAGACTTTGTGTGCCAGTACTGTAATAAGGCATTCACTTTAAACGAAACACTCAAAATACATGAAAGAATTCATACTGGAGAAAAACGCTACCACTGTCAGTTCTGCTTACAGAGTTTCCTGTATCTTTCCACCAAAAGGAACCATGAGCAAAGGCACATACGTGAGCATAATGGAAAAGGATATGCGTGCTTTCAGTGCCCCAAAATTTGCAAGACGGCAGCTGCTCTGGGAATGCACCAGAAGAAACATCTATTCAAAAGTACGGGTCCACCAGATAGAAAAGAACAGTTCTGCAACGAAAGTGCTCAGCTGTTGGAAAATCAACATTTCCTTGGCTCAGAAGGAAGCGAAGGGAAAACCATACAAAATGTAACTCCAGAAGTTACACTCTGAGTGACAGTTGTGCAAAAGAGAAGAAAAATACAAAACTATATATTGGAGAAGATGTAGGTTCATTGAATGGGGAAAATTCTCCGCAGAGATAATTTACGAAGATTAAATGTCTTCATTTAAACACATGTCAATATATGCAAAGGAAAGAAAAATAACGCTGGAAAGAAAAACTAGTATTTGCAATAATACAAACTTAGTTTGAAAGACCCCAAATAGTTTTGCCAGAATAGACTTCTAGCATACATGTAGAGAGGAAGAAGAAGAAGAAAAAAAAAAGACCAACTAAACTGCTTCTACTTAAAGCTAGAAGAAACTAGCCACTGAACTGTTCTACAGTGCTGTTTTTCAGTCAGAATCATTCTGGACAAAATAAATATATAGGTTCAAATTATATATTATAGAAGGAATTTTTGCTGCAGAAATCATGTCGCTTTTTTTTTTTTTTAAAACAAATGTTAATGTGTTTATAAACAAATCGTGATTTAGTGTATTCTACAGTGAAGATGGGCAATGTTTCATCAGTTTGGGTATGCTGAAGTACAGTTGAGTTTTGGAGTGCTTTTCTGTAACTCAACATTTACAAAACATACACAGAAGTATAAACCTTTTTTCCTTTCTGTTTTTAGTTTTGTAGTTACCATAATATGCATTAAGTCTCTGAATGCTTGTGCAGAAAGTATGCCAGATTAGAGGCATCTCTGAAACATTTAATAAAGATTCAGTGCAAATCCTAGTAGCCAGTCTTCCAAACGGCAGAAGTTCCAAATGATTGAACTGTAAAGTTATTCAGGTCATCTGTTGAAAGAAAGTTGTTCTCATGAAGTAGTATAGTTTGAAGAACTCTATAAAGCATCCACCTCCTTGTGAGTCTGAAACTCCTGTCTTTTAGAAATACCATTCTTCTCAGCAGAAGAAGAGGAGATAAGAGTCTTTTTCCACATCCTGGTGTAATGCCTGGACAACAAATGACAGTGCAGTCACAGAAAATGCTTTGATTTTTGGGAGGAAGAGGTAAATCACATTCTTGCTTCCAGGTATATCCCTGGGGCAGTTTCCATATATAACAGGGATAGGGCCAATCTGTGGGGTTCCTTGTCATCCCTGTGCCTTAAATGCAATATCAGTACTTTGTGTGTCTCAGCATCTCACCCCAGGCAAGCTTCATCTCAGTGTCCCTTGTCCAAGCACAGTAGGCCCAGAGCAGAGAAGTGCCAGCATCAGGTTACTGGGAGAAGCCACGTTGGCCTTTCTGCTTCCCTTCTTCTGTCACACCAGAATGTCACAGTGGGCCTTCTGGCTGCACAGTTTGCATTCACCAGGAATCAGGAGGGTAAGCTTCTGAAAGAAGACATCACTGAAATTAACAGTACAGTTAATCACATTTTCACAAAATAGTGTTAATTTTAACCAAAATGAAGAGGTTTAAAAAGTTGAAGAGGTTAAATGTCTACCAGTTGCATATTATATCACAGGGCTCTGTTGTACTCTGTCTGCACTTCCAATTTGTTATGTACATTCATTGTTACAAAGTGTTAAAAATGTTTTAAGTCTGGACAACAGTCAGTGAACCTCAATTCTATGTGCAAATATGGTACACAATTTGTTTACTTGGTTTTCCAAAATATTCTAAAGGAAATTATAGCTTGGGTATGATAAAATTACAATTGAAATTATAGTACAGTATAGATTGAAGTAATAATGTAGTCCACTTATTTATCCTGTCATCGATGAACGCTGTGAACCCTTTGAGAAATGTTTGGTTTCATAGCAGTTTTGGTTCCATTTTCAATTAGGATAATAGTAGGATAAACACAGGAAAGTATGATGATGTTTCAAAGAAAGTACACGAAGATATTTTCTAAGTGGACTTGTATGATGATAATTATAGACCAAAGCAAATAAGGTAGAATATTTATACATATAAAGATAATTTTACAGATATTTTATATAACTGTATAGTTCATAAGAAAAATATTGATAGCTTGTGTTAGGTTTGGGGGGGGTTTGTATATTTTGATAAAAACACAATGACTTTGTAACTCTGTATATTATCTACAGTTTATAGCAAAGGAGTTTTAAGATGGCAATGTCATGTTTATAGTTCAATTGTGGCACTTTTACTACAAGTAACACATTGAAGTAATGAGTTAAGTATTAATGACCAAATTAGAATTAAAATAAGTGTAAGAGAAAGTAAATACTGTACGTTGTCAAAGACTGTAATTTGCTGCATCTGTATTTTTGTTTAGAAGAAAATATTAAATGCAGATGTTAAGGATTGATAAAGAGTCTAATTTTATTTTTAGAGAGAGTTATTATAACTGTTTTTGCTTGATTAAAATAACCTCTTCCTATTTTTCTGTAAGTCTCCATTTTTTAAATTAATACTTAATCTCTACAGACAAGAGATATGTATCTTCTACCCAATGTTTCATTATAAGATTAAGCAACAGAGTTACCAAACACTCCCTCTGTTAAAGTCAGAACAGTGAATTGAAACACGCCAGAGCTCAAGGGAAGTGACAGCATCTGCTGGCATCGTGCAGTGATGGTGAACACTGTGTTGAGGTGAACAGAATCTCCTGTTCGGTACCTTAAAGGAGTCAAAGACAGGTAAACTTTTTAATGCTTTGCAACATCTTAAACCTGTTTTCATGATGACCCAAAACTTTAAAGATCTTAAAATTAAATTCCGATAGTATCCTTGTGGTATAGATTGTGTATTTTACGCAGTGCACTTCCAAGCACTTGGGAATGCTGCCAATATGCATGGTTTCTTAATTGCATCAGAGAAGATAAAGATATGAACAAAACAGAAAACTCTGTACTCAAAGTACTTCTCCTTCAGCTAGAAAAACTTAAGTTCAGCATTTAAAGATAAATTTAAGCTAAATTATTTAGAGCACATTGGGATAGTCCTCAGTAGAGATGTATACTTACACAAAGAAAATTGGCTACATATATATATTTTTCTGTCCTATTTAGAAATCTAACTAAAAGTTACTTCAAAGAAAGGTGATATTAAGTTAAACAGTGAACTCCAGCTGTCATGCAGCTTTCGAGGGTGTTATGGAAGAACTAAAGTCACATATCTATAAAATATGCAAAATATCTACAAAATTGTTGCAACACAGCTAACCATATCTCTTCCTTCTCTGATCAGGAGTTTTCCATCCCAAAGCTCTCAACTCTGAGCCTGGGTTCACCACTCACAGGTCAGACAGAGCAGACAACCTACTGGAAGCCAACTGTAGATAATCAAATCCCTCAATTTGAGCTATTGAGGAAGCTGTCACTTCTAGCAGGTAAAAATCAGCTTATGTAAACTCATGTCTTTGTGCAAGTTTGTGTTTTGCATGCATACAAATTCCCACATTATGGGATGATGAAGCAGCTCATTGTCCCCTGAGCCGCTCCTGCCACCTTTATCTCTTTTCCTTTAACCTGATATGGAGTGTGGGAATGAAGAGGGAATTTCACAGCTGCTGGAAAACCACCAAGCAATGGGGCTGATGTTTGCCTGAGAGCCAAATTACAGGGCTCCACGGCATATAATAACAGTGAGACTCATGTGGGAGAAATGAACGGTCATGGAATCACAGCAGAAGACTCCAACTAGAGACAAATAATGAATGCTTCCTTGAAACCTTCTAAGTTTTCCTTTAGCAGACTGAAGAGCCTAAGGTGAAAAACGGTAGTCCCCTACTAACTAACTTTCTAAAGGAGCCTTTTCCTTGATGCCCAGCTGAATGACCTCTTTGCTGTAGGACTACAGCCACTGCAGGGTTTTGTCGGAACGTGTGTCTGCAGAGCCTAGAGCTGCTTCACCTGCACCTTCAGTGCTGCAGTTCCACTGGACCGTTCTGCACACAGAGCTGCAGCTGGGCAGAGTGTGGAGCCCAGGCACACCTGTCATAGGTGCTGGGACCAGGGCTCATTCCAGATGGCAGTGAGATCGCAGGGTTTCAGATTAGGATCCATAGCTTCAGGAAACACTAATGTAAACTATAATGAAAATTAATTCTTGAGGAGGGTAGGCTGAAGCACTTGTAGTCTACCACAGAATCATGAAGGTTGGAAAAGACCCCTAAGTCTGGTCTCACGATCCGCCTACTGCTAATACTGCTCACTAAATCACGTCCTCAGCGCCATCTACCTGAACACCTCCAGGGACGGTGACTGCACCGTCTCCCAGGGCAGCCTGTCCAAGTGCCCGAGGTGAACGCAGAGGTGAACGAGCAGAGGCCCAGCAGAGCCCATCAGGCACCCGCACTGGAGCTGGGTGCTGCAGCGCACCGAGACCGAAGCAGCTGCAGCTCCGTGACGGCTGCGGAACGCGCTATTAGCGTGACGAGTACGGGAGTCCAACACGCTTCGTCTACGACTTCTGTCTCCTGCGATAGTAACACAAGGGACAAAGATGAGCAGAGCCCCGGCGGGCAGTCGGAGCGGCCCCGTCAAGCGAGCGCCCAGCACGAGCTGCACACACGGCAAAGGGCCGGGCGGAACGCAGGCAGAGCAGGGCGGCATCACCCGCCCAGGGCTGCCGGGACACGGACCGAATGCGCATGCGCGCTGCCGCCGCGCGCCGCTCTGTGGCGGCCCCCGAGGGCGGGGGAAGGCGGGGCGGGTGTAGGGCGGGTGTTGGGGTCGCTCCTTCCTCCTCGCTACTCCTCGCTCCTCCCCCGGTGCGCAGTGCGCAGGCGGCGGCGCTGGCGCGATGGCGGCCCAGGACGGCGGCGGCGAGGTGCGGGTGCTGCAGAGCCTCCGGGGCAAGATTTGTAAGTGCGGGCGGTGCGGGCCGAGCCGCTGCGCGGCCGCGTAAAGATTTGGCGGGAGGGCGTCGTGCCGGGCCGAGGTGCCGCCGCCGCGCCTTCTCCTTCCTCGCGGCTGGGCGGGCGGCATCGCCTCGCGGCGGCGCGGGGAGCCCCGGGGCGGGGGCGGCGCGATGGCGGCGGGAGCGCGTTGTGTGCGGCGGGCGGGCGGGGCGCCGCGCGCTGCGGGCCGGCACGTGCCGGGGGCGGCGGGAGCGCCGCGGGTCTCGGGGGCGTCCGCCGCCGCGAGGGCGGCCTGGCGGGGCGGGAGCGGCACGTCCTGCGCTGCGAGCCCCGCGCCGCGCTGTTTGTCAAGAGGCGGTTGCGAAACTATCGATGTTCAGGAAGTCGGTGGTGGAAGGGTGTTCTGGAGCGGCCGTCGGTGCTTCTGCGTCTTTGTGTTGTGTGTGTGTGAGAGAGAGCCCGGTGACTTTATTTTGGTGGTTAGGAAGCGCTGACTAAAAATACCCCCGCGTTCCGTACCGTGGGAAGCCGGGCGGTGAGCACGCGGCGGGAGGGGACGGCGCTGCGGCTGCTCGGGGCGCGGAGGAACAGGATGTGAGCGCTTCCTGCGGCTCGCCCCGCGCCCATTCAGCTCCTTTCTCACGAGGCCCCTCGGCCTTTTTGAGAATGAGACGACGTCGGTCGCTACGGCGTGCGCCGGGGACCGAGGGGCGGTGGTGCGCGACCGCCGAACGGTGCGCGTGGCTGCGGCACCAGGCGTGCTTTTAAACGCCGTGCCGTGCGGAGGAGAGGATTTGCCGTCAGTGAGTGAGGCGGCCGTCGAGACGGCGAGCTGAGAACGTCAAGCCGGAGGGGCTCGAGCCGCAGCGGTGGTTCGGGCGGCGCCCGTGGGGCAGGCGGGGCCAGGCGAGGCTTCCCCAGACCTTGCTGGTAGCGCGGAGCTAACGCGGGCTGGTTTTGAGACGGGTCGGAGCTGATGTATTGACTGATGCTGCTTTGCTTCTTGATTTCTGTTCTAGAGTCACAAAATGGATTGGGTTGAGTTCCTACTCCCCTGCCATGTGCGGGGATGCCGGCTGCTAGATCCAGGCACCGGCTCGGGCTGCCCAGGCCCGTCCAGCCTGGCCTTGAGCACCTCCAGTGATGGGGAATCCGAAACCTCTCTGGGCAGCGGTGCCTCACCGCTGTCTTTAGGGTTGGGTCAGCAGCTGACAAGGCAGCGATTCAGGGAGTTTGTGTTCTGTGAACTGAACGCAAGTATTGTGTTAGGCATTAGAAGGTGTATCCCCGGATTTCTCAAAACACTCGAAACTGCTTTTATTGACCTATTTAAGTGTGCTGGATGGTGCCTGCAGCTACAAAGTAACTTTGAATGTTGCCACAGTCAACGATCTGGTGAAAGCGATGGCAAGCTGAAGGCGGTGCACCTGTATGTGTGGGGAGCACTGCGAGTAGCTCACGGATGTCCCACCTCCTCCTTAGAGTCTGGTGCTTGACGCTGTTAGCTCTGCATTACCGTCACACTGTGTATCTATTGAGCAAATGATGCGCAGGACAAGAAGGTTTGTCTCAGCTGTGGGATTTAGTGAGTTGCTGTTACAACTAATGTGCAACATGAAAGTAACATGCAAAGCTCAAACTTGTTAAACATTGTGTATCAAAATTCCTGTTGTTTTAACACTGAGCTTTTATTAGAATCACAGCTTTTCCCTCTTGCTTAGGCTTGAGCTGATCTTACTTTGAAGTCAAGCTTTACAGCATAGTGGCACAGAGAGCCCTAACAGTGCTTTATATGTACTTTAAAATCCAAACCAAACTATGTAGTCGATAAAAGTTATTTTATTACTGTCATTTTTTGCTTTTTTCCACTAAAGGAGGTTGCTGAGCTAGTTGGCAGTAGTTATGAACTTGCCTTTTCAGAATAAAAGGGTCAGTGTTGTTATTAGTGATGCATTTTGTACTTGTGCTACTAGATTGGCTATGAAGTATGGTGTGAAAATAGCTGTTGTCCTAAATGAGGCTGGTGTTCGAAACTGCTGGGTTGATGCAGTTGCTAAGAAGTGAGTTGGCCTTATTGCTGCTTTTAGTCACTTGTGTGTTTCGCTGCTGGAACCACAGGTTTAAATATCTTGCTGTACAGTTTTAAACGACAGACACTGGAAAGCCTTGTGTAGAGCTCTACAGCTACAGGTAAACATGCATCTCTTTCTCGTCTCCCGAGAAAGCTTTCTGAGATGGTTCTCACTGACCACCTTACTGCCCGTGTTTTTTGAACACCCATTTGGAAAGCACTGGTGTACATCTCCATGACATCCCTCTCACTTGCCTTCTTGCCCTCTGTTTTTGAATTGTGGAACTTAGTGTCTTGACGTTGCTGCTGTTGTAGTTTTTCGGAATTGTGCATCTGCTGAATAAACTCAAATCCAAAAATTCAAGCAAATATCTGATGTTATTCATACATAATTTTTATTTTTAATCTGTACAGCTGGAAGTTTTCTCCCAATTGTAAATGTTAAGAGGTTTTGGGGAAGATGTGACAGCTGTGTGCTTTACCTGATAGGTGAGCTGCAGATCCT